GTAAGCCAATCACAAAAGAACACACATGGTATTCACTCACTGATTATTGGATATTAGCCCAGAACCTTGAAATGCCCAAGATGCAACTCACAGGCCACATGAAGCTCATAAAAAAGGAAGACCAAGTGGGGGTGATTCAGTTCTTCTTAGAAGGAGCAACAAATACTCAAGGGAGCAAATATGGAGACAAAGTGAGGGACAGAAACTGAAGGAGGGGCCATTTGAAGACCTTTCCACCTGAGTATCCATCCCATGTGCAGTCACCAAAGGTAGATGCTGATGTGGAAGTCAGGAAGTGCAGTCCGATAAGGGCCTGATATGGATGTCTCCTCAGAGGCCTTCAAGAGTCTGACATATTCAGAGGCAGATGCTCACAACTAGCCATTGAACTGATCTTGAGGTTCTCAATGGAGGAGTTAGAGTGAGGACTGAAGGAGCTGAAAGGGTTTGTGGCACCATGAGGAGAGCAACAATACCAACCAACCACAGCTCCCAGGGTCCTAACCACCAGCCTGGGAGCACTTAGGGGGGCATCCAGGGCTTCAGCTGAATATGTAAGAGTGGAGGGCCCTGCCGGGCACAGGTGGAAGAAGAGATCCATGACCTCATGAAGGCTGGACGCCCCAGGGGGTGGGAATTTTGAGGGTGGGGAAGTGGGAGTGGGGGGGGTAGGTGGGGGTTACATCCACGGAGAAGAAGGAGGAGGGGTCAGGGGATGGGGGGTTCCTGGGTGGGTGGGGGATGGGGTAAGGGGATAACATATGAAATGTAAATAAAATATCCAATAAAAAAAAAAGAATAAAGCAAAAGTTCAGTGGAAAAAAACAAAAAAGAAAAAAACAAACAAACGCTTCCTTATTTGAAAACGTAACTAGTCTGTTTGATCCATTCAAGGCATGCTGCTAGCTGGGTTTCTCTTGAGGAATGTCCCGGTCATCAGTGATAATGTCCGGATCCAGCACAAGTGGTCATCATCTTTGAGAAGCATAGCCCTTTCTGTCATTCTGGTTCGTGCTGGCCTCGGTCTGGATTCAAAGGTATGGAGTATGAGTTTCTCATCATCAAATACCAAATGTGTCCTTCCGATATGACAAGTATTCATAATGACTAAGCTTTAGGAAATGAACGTGGACAATATGCTCCATAGTCTCAGGAAGAAGAGGATTTAGTCCAGGCAGGGCCGTTGTGGGAGTACAGATGTTCTCACGCCTGTCACCGTGGAGGATAAACACAGAGGTGCTGACTATGGGGAAACAGCGTGTCAAGCCCAATACATGCATGCAGCACTAACTACATTGGCTTGAGGCACAGAATCTGAAGTCACCTGTGTGACTGTAAACTTGGCCCCAACACTCACCAATTTCATGAACTGACGTGCCTTCTTAAATGGTAATTTGTAAAAAGAGGAACTGTAATTACCTACTTCAAGATTCTAGGGCACACTATCTCTCAAATACAAAGAATGCAGAAATGCCAGAATAAAGCTAACTACCTGAAGAACCCATGGTGACCAAGCGTGGTCTGAGGAGGAGCTGGAAGTCATAGAGTCCACGTGTCATCAGAGGAACATATTAGTGTGTCCACTCTTGTTTTTCAGGCCCTGAAGAAGCTGAAGGGTGTGTGTGTACGCCTGGCCATGGGTCCCTGCATCGTGGAGGCGTGTGCTTCTGCGCTTCTCTCGCACTTCCTGATGGGGTTGCCATGGCAATGGGGGTTCATCCTGGGGTAACTCTTTTTATGTGAACATACCAAATGACATTTGGAACTTCCTGACTCCATTAAAGGGAATGTAAAATAGCATTTTTTTTTTTAAAAGAGCACCATAAAATATATCGTAGGCACTTCAGCACCATCGGAACAGAGTTGCTGTAGCTGTAAGAGTTTGTGTCTCTGTAGCTAATTTTTGCAGTGATTGCAGTAAACCAAATTATCAAAGAAGCTGTGGGGTTTTTGTTGTTGTTGCTGTTGCTGTTGTTGTTTTGTTGTTGTTGTTTTTCTATGCCCGATCTCCAGGCCTGGGAGTTAGATGGTGGATCCCACCCCAGAGCCTCCATAAGCAGCTGGAAGCTCTGTGCTCCTCAGCAGACATTGTGACTTGGTGGTTCTCCCATATGTCTCTTCCAGTGTACTGTTTTTCATGTCCAGTGAATGGGAGCCATGAGACATGCATATGTTCAAAGTAGATAGCAAGAATTTTGTATTTACAAATGGTAGACAAGAAGAAATTCTTACCTGTCAGAAGTTGGGCTTAGGGCCACTACCTAGATTCCAGCTCCTCTTCTGTGATTTCCAGTTAGCCAGTCTCTCCGTGCCTCAATTTCCCTACCTGTATCTATTTCATAGTGTGATGGTGGTAATGAAATGAGTTCATACTGTGAAGTCCTTGAAGTGGGTGTTTAGAGCATAGTCAGTATGGAAAACTCTTCCCAGTGATACTCGGTTGCTCCTATTAGCCCACTGCCCATGTCCTCAGAGCCTCTTTCTTCAGATCTGTTGTCTTAGTTCACATCTTAAGACTCAACTGAAGCCCTGTTGTAGTTGAGAATGCTTATGGTAATTTTTACACCTTAAAACATGACTGAAATATGTATATGTATATGTATATGTATATGTATATATGTGCGTGTGTGTATGTATATGTGTGTATATGTGTATATGTGTATGTATATATGAATATGTGTGCATATACATATTTATTTATTTAAGATTTATTTATTTTATGTATGTGAATACACTGTTGCTCTTTTCAATCATACCAGAAGAGGGCATCGGATCCCATTACAGATGGTTGTGAGCTACCATGTGGTTGTTGGGAATTGAACTCTGGACCTATGGACCATCTCTCCAGCCCATATAAAGCATCTACTAGGGCGTAACTTCATTACTAACTCATTATTTATCATGATACGTATATTTTATGCAACCTAGGTCACTACAAAACAGATTGTTCATGGATATACTTCAAAAAGCAGTGTTCTATAGAAGTTTCTGCCTGTGCATTTCTGGTTTGGTGTTTCTGGGTTGTTTAAGAGACTGCAGTCATCCAAAGTCTAACCTAACCTGTAAACGTATAGAAAAACTGAGGCACTGTTGTGAATTCCGAGGTGGTGGTCGTGAACAGCTTGCCCAGGCCACAGTGTCTGACACTTGGCTGCTTAGTTTTGTCGTAGGTGCTGTGTCTCCAGCTGTCGTGGTGCCTTCCATGCTCCTTTTGCAGGAAGGAGGCTACGGTGTTGAAAAAGGTATCCCAACTTTACTCATGGCTGCTGGCAGCTTCGATGACATCCTGGCCATCACTGGCTTCAACACATGCTTGGGTGTGGCCTTTTCCACAGGTAATCTCAGCTGTCCAGGGCAGCCTATTCTCTAACAGTGTTTAAACCGTGGCATAATTACTTAAGGGAATGCATGTGGGGGAGATGCTGGATCCCTCCCCAGAGCCATCATAAAACAGAAGCTGCTTATCCCTGTCTCTACTCTTATAGCTGGAGTACAGTACAGAGGGATATAGGGTAGGGAGGTTTACAGAACGGTAGTTCTTCTTGGAGCAGGCTAGGAAAATTTAAGTGTAGAAGCCACACAAAGGGTGAGGGTGGGTTGTAGTGGGCACACAGGAGAGACAGCAGTCCAGGTGAGAGGAATGCTAGGATTCTAAAGTAGGAGCGTTTTCTATTCTCCTGTCTCAGCTTTTCTCATTCCCTTGTAAGTTAGTCTTCTGTAAGTTCTGGTTTCACGATGCTACTTTCTTGTTCTGTAACTAAGGCATGTTCGGATTCCCTGTGAAGACCTAACAGATAATTGCCTTTAGTTTAACTCTACTATACCACTCTACGCGTATATTTCCACTGCTTGCCTCGTATGCACCTTTACAGCAGCAATTCTTAGCTTTAGCTATAGATTACCATTACCCAGGGAGCTTTATTTACTTTTTATTTTAATGTAGACATTACCTTAGACCAATTAAATGAGCACCCCTGGGAATGGAAACTAGCGTAGCTATGACTAGGAACCATGGCTTCAAAGCAACAGGATTTGCCTTAGGGTCACAGAGGATGCAAGAAGATCAAGAGGCAGACAGGATTTCTTAGAGGCATCTCTTTGAGCTTTCTACAGCTTGCACATCCTCCTGGCTGACTGCTGTGTCACCTCTGCCTGCCCCTAAAACCTGTTGGCAGACACTTTGAATTTGAACCTGACAAGATTTCCTGATAGAATTTTTAGTTATGAGCCCAGGAATTTTATTTGTTTGTTTTAAACAACATTTTACCATACAGGAAATGGAAACGTATTAGTTACATTCTAAAGTACATTCTTTTTTTGGGGGGAAGGGGGTCAAGACAGGACTTCTATGTATAGTCCTGGCTGTCCTGGAATGTGCCCAGTATAAAGGGCTGGCCTGGAACTCAGAGATCCGCCTGCCTCTGCCTTCCAAGTACTGAGGCTAAAGGCCTCACCCGGCATGTAGCACATTCTTTCTTGAAATAGCTTGAGCCTCATGCTGCCATCACAGATGGGCTTTTGTTTTGTTTTTAATTGTTAGAGCTAAGATAGACCTAGGAGCTTGCTCTTGTCAGGCAAATGACTCGCTCACCCCAACCCTGCCCCCAACCCGCACATTTAGCAGGGTGCTTTCGACAAGCACAGTTAGCCTCCCAGAAAGCTGTCTTCATCAAGAAAAATTATGTGATTTGGTTTTAAATAAGAGAAGTGCTCATTGTAGCAATAAGACACCACAGTGAGCTTTTATCTCAAGACAACTGATAGCCGGGCAGTGGTGGCGCACGCCTTTAATCCCAGAATTTGGGAGACAGATGCAGGCGGATTTCTGAGTTCGAGGCCAGCCTGGTCTACAGCATGAGTTCCAGGACAGCCAGGGCTACACAGAGAAACCCTGTCAACAACAACAACAACAACAACAAAAAGACAATTGAAAAATGACTTTTTGAGCTGGAGAGATGGCTTTGGAGTCAAGAGCACTTGCTGTTCTCACAGAGGACCCAGGTTCAATTCCCCGCACACACTTGATGCTCACAACCATCTGTAACTGCAGAGCGCCCTCTTCTGGCAGGCACACAGGTGGCATGCAGACAAAATACCCATATAAAATAAACAGAAGAGAAAAATGGCTTTACATGAAGAACAATTTTAACTATTTTCTGAACAATGTCTTAACAACGACTTTCAAAATAAAATTTTCTGAACCCTGTTTGCTATGACGGGAAACGGTTTCTTCGGCCCTTTGCATTGTCATACCCCAAAGGGATTAAGTCACACACAAAGAAAAATCCTTTTTTAGGGAAATTTAGCAAATACTTTGTTTCAGACTTATTGTTTTTCCAATAAAGAATTGGGCAGATGTTTTATTTTGTCAGATTCTTACGCTACTTTGAGCTATAGATTTGGTGCTTGTAACTTGAAAATTCAACCAGTTCTATCCCTCTGTTCATCTGTACATATAACACAGTAGCCAAGCTTGCTGTGAGTGATGGATTTTGTCTTTCATAATTTGACAGGCTTAAGAAAAGTGTTAAGTTAAATAAGCCTGCGGGAAGTATTGACATTACACCTTGCAGTGGTTTTGAAAGTTTTGTCCAATGATGTGCTTCCTCTTCCTAAAAAAATAGAAGCTGTTTGTTTGCTTGTTTGTTTTGTTTTGTTTTGTTTTGTTTTTGACACAGGGTTTTTTTCTCTGTCTAGCCCTGGCTGTCCTGGAACCTGCTCTGTAGACCAGGCTTGGCCTGGAACTCAGAGATTCTCCTGTCTCTACCTACTAAATGCTGGGAATAAAGGCGTGCTCCACCACACCTGGCTAGGAGCATTTTAAAAGATATTTAAAGTCATCTATATTAAAAATGTGGAGAGTATCGGGCTGGAGAAACAGCTCAACAGTTAAGAACACTGGCTGCTCTTCCAGCAGACAGGATCGATTTCCCCAGCAACCAGAAGGCCTCTCCGAACTGTCTGTCTCTCCAGCGCCGGATCTGAGGCCCTCTTCTGGCCTCCTTGGGTACTGCATGTATGTGATACTCAGACATACATGCAGGCGAAACACCCATACACATGAAATAATAATTTGTTAAAATACGGGGCATAGGAACTGTCTGTAAGAATTCCCTTCCATGTGGTTACGTGATTTAGCTTGATAAATGTTAGACTGAAGCTTGTGCATTTATGGATTTAGAGTCCCGACTGAAGTTTTTCTTTTCATGTGTTTTTCAGGGTCTACAGTTTTTAACATCTTCAGAGGCATCTTGGAGGTGGTAATCGGTGTGGCAGCTGGATCTTTGCTTGGGTTTTTTATCCAGTACTTTCCAAGCAGGGACCAGGTAAAAGAAGTAATCCAAGAAAATCATGTTGTAGATTGTCAATGGAAGAACCTTCTAGAACGCCTTCCTCAAAGCTGGATCTGCAGGACACACATGGGGAAATGGCCTCAGTCTTTACTACTGACTATTTTATTGGTGCTATGCATGAGGTCCAGGAGAGCTACATGTGTGAGGTCCTAATGCTGCTCTGGCAATATGATCTACATTTCAAGTTTCATTGTAGAACAATATCAGATACAATATAATAGAATATACAAGTTTTGGGAAGTTGTGCAGTATTCAGCGAAATCAACATTTATAATGGCTTTTCGACCCCAGTTTAATTACTATCAAAATACTTTAAATTCAAATGCTGTCAAACAGATAAGACTTCCAGCATCTGTAAAACATCTTTCAAGATCAACGTTCTTCATAATGAGAAACAAAAGCTTATTTTTCCTCCACTCATATTTTTTTCAAATTGAAAATGCATAGGCAGGATGGGTGTGGCCCTCATGCCTCATTGGACAATGACAGGAGGACTGGAGCCATTACAAAGTCCCCTTCAATTATTGGAGGTCGGGTCTCTATTCTCACCTTCGAAAGATTAGAATCGCCATGGTCCTTCTACACTTAGAGAAGGGAGGAGATGTCAGGGGCAGCCCTGCTTATACACTGAAGGCCTAAAATCAGCCATAGGCCTAAAATCAGCAATAGGCCTGACATACATGCATGCTAACACAAGGTCTTGGGTCTCTGTGGAAAAACACTGAAACAGATGACTATAAGCTATTGTAAACAGGCAGCTTTTGTGGAAATTTACCAGCCTGAGTAGTCATAGACCTTGTAAATAGGTAGCCTTGGTGGATAGTACCAACTTAGATAAGGACAAGTGGGGCTGGTGAGATGGCTCAGCGGTTAAGAGGCCTGACTGCTCTTCCAGAGGTCCTGAGTTCAATTCCCAGCAACCACACGGTGGCTCACAACCACCTGTAATGGGATCTGATGAACTCTTCTGGTGTGTGTCTGAAGACAGCTACAATGTATTCATATAAATAATAAATAAATAAATAAATAATATTTTAAAAAATAGATAAGGACAAGTGAATCATAGGCAGAGTCATAGTGACCTGTCTCCTGAACCTTCACCCAGCTGATACCCTGTTCTGAAAGATATCTGTACTCCCCCTGAACACCTACACTCCAGTGTCATCCCCTTCCCCACATCCTGCCTTTTTGTGTTTATAACCCCTGTGTGAATAAGTAAAAATTACAATTTGATTCAATTTAAAAAAGAAAATGCATATTGAAATGCATATTTATATGAATATATATTTTGAAATTTCAGAAGATTGATAATGGCACTGGAAATCCAACTAAAGAAAGTATTGTGTGCACAACATTCTTGCTTTCATCCTAGGTATAGAATAATCAGTTGTTAAAAATCGGTTATTTGCAATAATTGAGCTAAGCACCTTGTATTTTTTTCTTCCAGGACAACCTGGTGTGGAAGCGAGCCTTTCTGGTTCTGGGTTTTGCTGTGCTAGCTGTGTTCAGCAGTGTGTATTTTAGCTTCCCAGGCTCAGGAGGACTGTGCACGTTGGTCATGGCTTTCCTAGCAGGTGTGAGATGGACTGACAAGAAGGTGAACATCACTGTAACTTCATCTGCTCACAATGCTTTTTTGATAAAATTCTTTCTTTTCAGCTTTTTTGTTTTTCATCTTTCCAAGGCAGGATTGTTCTGTTTAACTCTGGCTGAACTTTGTTTGTAGACCAGGCTGGCCTCGAACTCTCAGAATTGTCCCCCTCTGCTGGGAGTTCTAGGATTAAAGGCCTGTGCTACCACATTTGGCTGTTTGACAGGTGTCGCTCGTTTGAATTATATGTGCATATTTTTCTTAACCGTGTAGTCATAGTAACAACACATTAAGCCACCTAAAATTATTAGCTTTGATTTTTCTTTTTTTGACATGGGGTATCATATCACATTCTGGCCTCAAATTTCTTGTATAGTTAAGGTTGGTCTTGAACTCCCAACCTTCCTCTCTCACAAGAACTTGGAGCTTACCAGTTTGGCTAGATTAGCTACATTTGGCTTCGTTAGCTGGCTAGCCACTGAGCTCTGGGGATCCAGCTGCCACTGATTTCTTATTTATAGATCTCAAATCCCTATCCCAAATCAATCATACCTTAATAATAAAGTTTTCTTTGCTTCTCTTTTAGGCAGAGGTAGAAAAGATAATTGCAGTTACCTGGGACATTTTCCAGCCTCTTCTTTTTGGCCTGATTGGAGCGGAGGTATCCATTGTGTCTCTCAGAGCAGAAACAGTTGGTAAGAATTTCTCAGGGGTTCTGGTGCTAAAACTATACCTTCAAATCCTGATCTGAAATATCTTCAAGAAGTATTTGTTTACCACCATCACAATTATATAAAGAACTAACAATGACCCAAATCTTCAGAGAGGTTGGCTAAAGAATAATGCTTTTTAATCAACATGAAAAATCAGGCATCCCCAACCCTACCCAACATAAAGATGTTCATCTAGCCTGTTCTCTGATGGAGAGCTAGAATTGTAAAGGTACTAATTATCTCTTAATGTGTTCTCACGGGATGGAAATGTTTGCTATTCGTTCTTTATCCTATGTTCAGACAACATCGTGTTAAGATTGTCTTGATTGACAGTACTGCATTTGCAATTAGTTAATTTGCAAATCTCATCTCTCCCCTTACACCTCAGGATTCTTCCGCTCATACGAAGAATCTGTTCCTTACCACCTCCCCCCCTCGCCCCAATGAATTGTGAATACTTCCCCCTTGTTCTTCTTTATCTCAAAAAAAAATGTGTATAGATATAGTATCTGTGTCTGTGTGTCTCCATGTGAACACGGGTACACCCATGTATCAAGGCCCAAATGTGGCGGTTCTGAGTTTAGTTCTCGATGCATATCTCAGGCAAGCTGGCCTGAAAGCTTCTGGGCCAGAAGTGTCTTTGCCTCCCGTCTGAGGAGTGCTAAAGTTACAAATGCAGGCCAACGTATCCAGATTTTTAAGTGAGTTCCGAGGATTGCATTTGGGACATCAGCCTTAAGGGACTAGCTCTTTAACCCCGCCTCCCTGGCCCTCTGTCCTATCTTTTAAAATGCCATCTACAATTTTGTTCTCTTTAGAATCTAAACAGTTTCTAATGTCATATTTCTCTTTTTTAAGGTTTATTTGTTTTATGCATATGAGTACACTGTCACTGTCTTCAGACACACCAAAAAAGAGCATTGGATCTCATTACAGATGGTTGTGAGCCACCCTGTGATTGCTGGGACTTGAACTCAGGACCTCTAGGAAGAATTTCTTATAAAAAAATTTCAGTTGTAAGAATTTAAATATGTTTGGTTAAATTCTGATTTTATAAAGGAAATGATTTTAAGCAATGGTATGATTGAACTTATTTTTTTATCAGTTATATGCAAATCTTTTGTATTTGATGTTTTAACATTATTTCTATTGAATGTTTTAGCATTATTGTTATTGGGAATATTTTGAAATGTAATTTCTCCTATTATTTCTAAAACCCAATTATTTCTTTTAGGCCTTTGTGTTGCAACCCTTGGCATTGCTGTGTTGATACGAATTCTGACTACATTCCTGATGGTGTGTTTTGCTGGTTTTAACATAAAGGAAAAGATATTTATTTCTTTTGCCTGGCTTCCAAAGGCCACAGTCCAGGTAAGTAATGATCAGTAGAAAGGCACATCATTTTAGCTGTTACCTCTGCATGACACCTTCAAATACCGAGTAAGAAGGCTTGCCTAAGTTTGGAGAAAGTAAACAGTTGGTAAATGACAGAGATAAGTGAGGGAATTCGTGGTTGGATAATTGGTTATGAGGATATTACACGAGTCTACTCTCAAAGTCTCCTTTATGATGGCTCATTCACCAGAGTGAAGGTAAAAAAAAATCCAAAAACTTCCTATAAGACTAGAAAGCAGTAGTGACCAGGCTGACCTGAGCTTTTCTCATTCGAAATACCAAATCCGAAAAGAACTTTCGGATCCGAAAAGAACTCATTTCAGATCATCCAAGAAGAAAAAAGGGATGGGCTGGTGAGATGGCTCAGTGGTTAAGAGCACTGACTGGTCTTCTAGAGGTCATGAGTTCAAATCCCAGCAACCACATGGTGGCTCACAACCATCCATAATGAGATCTGATGCCCTCTTATGGGGTGTCTGAAGACAGCTACAGTGTATTTACATACTATAAATAAATTTTTAAAAAAAGAAAAAGAAAAAAGGGAGGGAGGAGGGAGGGAGAAGGGAAGGATGAGAGAGGGATGAGAATGGGAGAATGGAGGGAAGAGGGAGGGAGAGAGGAAGGAGGGAGGCAGGCAGTATCGAGTGAGCATGGGTCACCTTAATGTTTGGAAATCCATCAACAGCTATATGATTGATGATTTGTCTGTATCTTTATACATAAGGAAAGATTGGTTTTTTTCGAGGGAGTTTTGCAGCCCTGGTTGTCCTGGACCAGGCTGGCCTTGAACTCAGAGGTGAAGGCCACCAAGTCCAACCTAAAAAAGAGTTTAGAAATGCTTTCCTGGGCTGGTGAGATGGCTCAGTGGTTAAGAGCACTGACTGCTCTTCCAGAGGTCATGAGTTCAAATCCCAGCAACCACATGGTGGCTCACAACC